TGTATCCCGTTGATTACAAACCTTTGAATCAGATCATTTGTCGATATGGAAAGCTTGTCACATGATTCACATGTACCTTTGTTGTTCTTTGTTCCTCTTTGCTTCTATCATATTGGTATATATATATATATATATGGCATAACGTTATATTGTATCTATTTTTGAAACTCACTAAGCATCACCGCTTATCCCTCTCAATGTTGAACTATTGCAGGTAATAAGCATCCAGTATAGACACATACTGTTGGAAGATTTAGAATAGTTAATAATATTACTTTTGTATTTAGTGATCATGTATGTATAAAATTATAATTTTCTGGGTAGTTATGTAATATACTAAAACTTAGTCGGTTTGTATCCAGTCTTTTGTAATTAAACTATCGATGTAAAATATTTTTTATAAAGATGCATGTAGAATGTTTTGTAGTAATATGATGTAGTTTTAGGGAGGGGTTCTCTCATGGGCCCAAACAAGGCCCACCTCCATTAGGCCCACTAAGGCCTAATTCACCCTTCAAGGCCCATTAGGGCAAGCCAGGCAAGGCAAGCCCAACTAGAAATCCATTACTCTAAAAATCCTTAGTCTATTATGAGCCCAAACCAAAGGATAAGTCCAAGACCAAGCTAGCCAATAATCGAAGAGTCCAAACTTGCACATGAGGTTCTCACGTCGTGAGCACCTTATGCTCACGTCGTGAGGTCGTGACTTTTGTCCAGAAAATTCCTCGAACACGCTCTCATGTCGTGAGGTCTTATCCTTCATGTCGTGAGTCCAGATCTGACCAAAAATAGTCATTAAGTTCCTAATCCATTAAGCCTTAACAAGGGACAGTCTAGAGGGTCTTCATTGACCCAAAGGGCCATAAAAATAGAAGCTTTTTGGACATATATGTTAAATACATGTCCTAACATCAAATTGGGCACAAATGAAGAAATATGACATCAAATCTTATGCAATAGTCATAAAACTCTACCAAACTAAAGATCTAGCCATTATCACACTCAAGGGACCCTAGAGATCCATAAAGTTGGCAACTTTATGGATTCTAATAACAACACCAACTTCGATCTAGAGAAATAAGCTCCAAGAATCTGGATCTAGGCTTATGGATACATAAAGTAATGAACTTAAAACTCACAATAGGTCTAGAAGGTGTCAAAATGGATGATGGTGAGTCTTGAATGCAGAAATGATGGATTAGATTCTCTTCCTCTCCTTCTTTACACCTCCAAAACTCCACTAAAAGTTCAGATACACAAGGAGAGGCTAGGGTTAGGGTTTTACTGAGTTTAGGGGTGAGGAAGGCTGGTTTGGAACCCTAAAATGGAGCTTATGGGGCTTAAATATGATGGAAACCCTAAAAGATCATGAGCTTAGGTTGCAGTGTTACTCACGTCGTGAGCTCTTAATGCTCACGTCGTGTGCATAGATTAAATCAATATTCTATTTAATCGCTTCTCACGTCGTGAGCTCCAATTGCTCATGTCGTGAGCTCAGTTTTTCCCAGATCCTTTCTAACTTCGAACAGTCATATCTTCTTCGTTTCAACTCTGTTATCGATGATCCTTATATCTACATAAAGGTGGTGAGAAGCCCTACACTCCTAGCAATTCATCATAGTCTTAAAGCTTTCCGAACGAGAAACCAAATTTCAAAAAGGCCCAAACTAACAAATTACGATTATACCCTTGGCTCCAAAACGCCATCAAACACTCAGACTACTTAGACTTCAACACCTTCATCCAAAAAGGGTCAATTCCTTTCTTCCCCAAATACTAAAAATGACCTAATTACAACCCAGTGATGAATTTGAGAATACATGAAAACCGGGTTGTTACACTTTTGAAAGGGTTATAGATTTGTTTCAGGCGAGGATATCAGACTCAAGAATCAAGGTGACTCATCTTCTTTTGGGTTATTGAATATAGGAAGAGGTAAATGGAATAACAGAAACATTGGGAGCAGTAGGAGCCGGGGAAAGAGTTCGTCTAGAACTTGGAAGAATGTGAAGTGTTGGAACTACCAAGATGTGGTACATGTTAAGATACAATATCCAAATCCAAAGAAAGAATTAAACATTGTTGGTGATGTGAATGTTTCTGAACATGATGCATTGTTACTTAGTATGGAAAGTAGTGTGGACTCTTGGGTCATGGATTCAGGGGCTTCATTTCATGCCATGGACAATGGGGAAACGATGGTGGATCTGAAACACGAAGATTTTGGAGAGTTACATCTGTAAAATGATGAGATACTTAAGGTAACGGGCATGGGAGATATTGATTTGGTTACTTCATTGGGAACTACATTGAAACTGAAGAATGTTAGGGTGATTCCGGATCTGAAAAAAGAAATTAATTTATGTTGGTCTGTTGGATGAACAAGAACTAGAAGTAAGGTTTGGTGGTGGTAAATGGAGGGTAGTCAATGGTAATATGGTTATTATTCATGGTATGAAGTTTGGGTCATTGTATATGGTTGAGGTACCTGTTGAGGGATGTATGGTTGTCCCGGTTAAGCATAAAAAAATCTGGTTCACTAAACATACGGCTAAGAGAGTTCATTTTGCAAACATGAAGTTTAGAGTGAAAGGGATGTTAGTTGAACGAGTGTGAAAGTCTAAACCATCCAGGGTATTTTGTGACAGTAGGAGCACGGGGCGTGTTCCTAGTATAGTTACAAAGATTCGTTGGGTTTTGAAGACTAAGATTGAAAATTTCTCTCCTATTGAATGTTTGCTAAGTATGGAGAGTGTTAGTGGTCCTCGGTGTATATTTGGAACTAGTGGGATGTCCAAAACGGTTAAGACAAGGGATAGGTCGGTGGTTGGATTAGCCATGGCTGAGTTGGAGCTCGTAGGAGCTTCAACTGACCTTGATAGTACTTGATGATAAGGGGCGGCTGCAAATAGGGGAATTTTGATTGGGTTTTAGCTTGTTCTTGGGAAATGGAAGCTTGGAAGACCTATTTGGTTTGAAGATTATTGAACTTATTGTGTTGTTCAAGCCACAAAGTGGGAGATTATTGGGTTTGGTGGCCTCTTTTGGCAGCAGATAAAGAATATGGGAGACAAAGAAAGTGGTTGAAGTAAAGTTGGTCAAAAGCAAAAAGTAGGCAACCAAAATTATGGAATCCATTTGGTTTTTGTCTTCCCACTATAATTTCATCATTGTTTGACATTCCTTTATATATCTCTTATCTATATATAGAGTTAATCACAGTAGACAGTGTATTGTACTGGTGAGCAACAATAGTGTATTGTAATTTGTAATCTTCTTATTATTAATAATAAGAAACCTAGTTGCACCCCGTGGATGTCGGATGTACACCGAATCCGAACCACATAAAATCCTTATGCTAACTTTTGCTTTATTTTATGCTTTCGTGTGTGAGTGTGATAGTGTTTCCATTACGTTGTACCCTGCCTGATTTCTAACAATTTTTGTCTACTGTGTTCTTCAGCGTGTTGTACCATAATATATTTTCTCTTACCAAATGTTTGACCAAAATTTGCTTAAATATGTCACTTAGTTGAAAACCATCACAAGACAATTGTAACGTTCAAAAACTGACACAAAACAGACTTTTAACCACTAGATAATTAGTTTAACCAACGGATGTCCACCAACAGTCAAACCTGACACTAAACAGTTGTTTTAACTATTAGATATAACACCGATAGATGGGTACAAAACCGAACTGCGTTCATTCCGATGCAAGTTAGCTGCGATGCATGGTTGTGACACAAGTTCGTTGCGATCATTTCGACATGGGTTGTTCTGATGCGATCCGATATGTATCGTTCTGATGCAATTCATCAAGGATTGTTCCGATGCAATCGCAAGTGAACAGGAACTCCTACTCCAATGCGAAAGTTTTGGTACATTGTGTTACAACGAGTTGCGAACGATCGCAATTGAACAGTAACCACCTTCGTTGTGAAAGTACATCTGCATCACAATCAGGTCCGAGATCAATTTTGTTCTGAAATCATTTTTGGTCCGAGACCAATTTCACTCTGAGATCAATTCAATTTCGAAGTCATTTTCGGTCTGATGCCAATTACATTCTGAATTTAAGTTCCAATATTACTTTCACTTTGCCCTTACTTAAAATCTTGTATAAACTTAAACAAATGTATACTCAACACATTCCTTACTTATTTAATATTCATCAAGATTGATTTTGATCAACAAATCAATCATTTACATTTAGATACACTTAGTGAAACAATTAACCAACACGTAATAATTCATGAAATCTACCTAAACTAAGAAACGGTTTACGTAAGCACAACATCGACTTAAAATGAAAAAAAAATGTAAATTCACGCCATAATTTGTGAAATATACGATATTCATGAAAAAACTTATCGAAAGATTTAAAGAATACTTCAAAATACTAGTTCTTCAAAAATTACGTTATAAAAAGAGTCAGAAAAAATATCTAGTAGAAAAACTACTACACTTAGGGGGTGAGAAAAAATTGCATCGCAACTAAAATTAACCAAAAAATCACATAAACCGCAACCGCAATGAAAACCGGTGGTTAGGTTTTCTGTTTTTCAAAAACCACACCGCACCGCATATATTATGTGCAATATTTATATGCGCAATATTTTTTTAATAATTATTAATATATTAGCTATTAAAAAATAAAAAATAAAAAGAACTAAAAGTTAGTCTTTGAGCTGAGTGAGACTTTTTAATCAATTTTCTAATCTGTATCGTGTTTCTCTTTTTGTCCAAGCATCCTTCACAACTCAGGCTTCTATCTCTTGCATGCTTAACGTGTTTGCAACCGGTTGAACAAAGTGCCTCCTGCCATCTATTCCAACTCCAATTGGTTTTTCGTGATGTTTATGAAATTTGACAATTTTAAAATATTTATTCTTAATTACTAGTGATTTGATGTTTTTAAGTTATTAGTTGTTTGTGATTTAAATTAATTGTTTTATACTTTATGTTTTATTATTATTATTATTACAAATAATATGTTTGAACTTTTAAAACTGTTTGAACTTTTAACTACAGTTAAAAACCACACAAAATAAATGCACAAAATCCATGCGGTTAATAACCGAATCACAAAGAACAAAATTGCACCGCAAAAATAACCGTCTAAGTACACACTGTTGAAAATGGATTAACCGTATCTGCGATTAATGATAGGTTTTGACCAATAACCGCACCGAGCTCACCCTTTGTCTACACCCACCTACGATGTTGGAAATAAAAATATTTAGTAAACATGAAAAATGGCACTTCACCAAAGGATTACATCTTTTTCAAGTGAGTATAATAATAAAAACTTCAATGATTGTGTGAATACTTACCGTGATACGATTTCTATTGATTGAAATTGGGATAATTTCAAGTATTCGATATTTCTTGAGCCTTGGAGGAATATAGAAAATCGTAGAATGGTTAGGAACATAACTCTTAACTCCAATCATCCAATTTGTCATATGCTTCTAAAACTGTGCATGCATCTACATAACTTATCTGCTCAATTATTGGGGATTTATATACATTAAATGAGCATTACGCTTATTTCAAAATATAGAAAACATGTACATTTCATATCTATTAACGTGTTATACTAGATTTTATCATCAAGACAAATACTAATAATAAAATTAATTTATAAAAGGAAATTTCCATCCACCAAAGATATCGCACAATAAATATGCACAACTTCCCTAATGATAAATAATCCGGATATAACATACAAGTGTGGATTTTATTTCATTTGATCTTAAATATAAGATACAATTACTACAAGGTTAATACACTCATGGTAAGTTCCTATGTTGATATTATTATACTAAAAACAGAAAAGTGTTATATTTTTATATATATATTTGTTTTTTAATTCATTGTGTTCTCAAGGCTTTGATCCAATCTATTTCCAATCTGAAATCACCCGGACCAGTTTGAGCACCAGGTACACCACCTTCAGCATTCACAGAGAATGACATTCCAACAACTCTTGATGGATTCATTTCTATATCCGCCTCAATTACATTCCCTCTCCATGTTGGAAGGTAATGCGCCAATGGAATCTGCAATTCCATTCCAAAGTTGTTCATCATTAACATCCCAAAATGTTTATCAAAATGTATCCAAAACTTGCCTTTGCAACAACCCAATCATGTTTAGGCACAGACACAAAAGCTTGCCATGAATTATCTTCCATTTGTCCAGGCGAATTCACCCAATTTTCTGTATAAATCTGAAACAAGTTTATAAAAAAGATTTATAAAAAAAAAATCAAAATGTGTTTTACATATTTTATATATGACAACTTACAGTGGATATATAACTCCTCCCATCTCCTCTAACTTTTAGTGCTATGGTATCGTAGGGGTCTAAATCGATAAACCCGTCAAACTATATGGGTGAGAATTTGTTAGGAAGATCACGGGTAAACGTGTAAATAACAAAAGTAAAAGGGTTGATGTTGACCTTTTTAGACCTCATTCCACAGAATCCACTCCGGCTAATATTCCATTTTGTACCATCGGTAACATCCAGAGAAAGATTCCCAGAGAATACTCCTATAAACATTTAAACATTTCAAAAATAATAATAAAAAAGATTTTTTTTTTTTTTATAAAATATATGCGAATTTTACTAACCAGTGCCACCCCTCTGTTCATTTCCAGCATCAGTAACCTCCAATGCTGCTGATGATAAACCTGTAAAATAATCAATAGTGTAAAAGAATCTTTTTTTTAATCATGATGTAATTAAAATAATACATTTATATAAAAGAAAAAATACGCACCTCCATATTCAGAATCTGAATATAAATGCCATTTTTTAAGCTCTTCTTTGGAATTAAAGTTGTATATAAATCTCTCACTAGGAGGAAACATGTCATCAACATTCCATGAAAGAGCTTCAAAACACGAAACAAATAAAAAAAATAAGGTTACTTCGGGTATTATTAAAGTTAGGGATAAAAAGCAAGAAATAGCAACGTACTTTCATTTATTTTTGTACTATAGAATTCCACTTTCATTTCTTTCAAAGTAGAATGTTGTAATAGGAAGAAATGAAAGTAAGAGGCTATAAATATAATAAACAAAATCAATGGAAGAATATATTGCTATTATTTGCATTTTAGCCATTAATATTTAATATCAATATTTATTATTGTTAGTAGCAAACAAAGAGTGTGCAGACCTCTTTTAGTGGCAGTTAAAGAAGCTTGCCATATTGCTCGAACTTTGGACATTTTTTTAGCTCCTTAAAAACCCTATGAATTTAAACAATTACAACAAATTTAAAGATGTTCATCATTGCATTGTAACATTTTATATTTTGGAATTTATTGTGGTACATATTATTTGGGTTATAAACAAAATTGGGAAGTATTTGTGAAGGTTATGAATCATGAAAGTGAAAATTATTTCACAATGTATTATCAAACTTTTGGGAAATGGGAAGTATTTAGGGCATATTTGGTTTGAAAAAATGTTTTGAAAGGAATTGAAATTTGTTATGTGTTTTTGGTTAAATGCAATTGGATTGAATTCATTGTTGTTTTCTGTTTGGTTTTCAATTTTTTCAAAGACATTGGAATGGAAATTGTGTAAATGACCAACCTACCCTTTGTCGATGAGAGGTTCTGTAATCTGGTCTTAGAAAATAACGAGCAAGTCACTTTCAATGGTAAAAATCAAGTTTAAAATGTAAAAGTTATGAAATACCAAAAAACTCAATATGCTAAGCCAAATACAATGAAAAGCATTAACATTGAATACCAAAACCTCAATTGTTGCCCCTGATTACCTTCATCGCCCCGGTCCCCAGGTTTATAGGCTTAAAATTTGATTTTTTGCTAAAAAAAATGTTATGTTTTAGGCTAAAAAGTTACAAGTTCAACATCAGATTCGGATAAACTCAGCATTACCAAATCAGTTGCCCAAACATTCATATGATACATAAAATCCCATGGACTATTTGACAGAAATCATAAAAGGAACACATATCCAAATGCTTTGACTAAAAACGAAAAGCTCAGATGTGATCTTTCTCCATCAATCACTGAACTTTTCATCGACATCCCATCAAGCATTACCATATCAGTTACCCAAACATTCATATGATAAACCCAAGACATCAGTAATCGAAATCCCATGGACTATTTGACAGAAATCGGTAATTGAAATCGGTATTTGACAGACTGGAAGAGGAGAAATCAGAAAGAAGGGCGAAGGCTGACCTATTCGCTGTCGACTTTGAAGCTGAGGCAGTGAGGCCTAAAAATCCGATTACCTGCGGAAGACGACGGACCGAGAGGGATCGAGATGTTGCTTGCAGACCAACCCACGAGATCGATGTTACTCACTTCACGAATTCACTGTGTTCGTCGATGAGAGCATGAGCGGAGAAGTGAGAAATCTGCGTCTGCGATGCGGGCGTAGTGAACGACAAGTCAAAGAACCCTAAAACCATATAAGTTATTATCTATATATATTTTTATATAAACATACGACTTGGACCGCGGATAGCGGGACGGAAATACCCACCCGACCCGGTCTCGAAAATAAAACGGGGTCTAATCTCACCCTGCTACCAACTTTTTTATAAAAATCAGTCTTGTACAGAATCGGAGAATCGAATCCCACAAAAGTTTTTAATATCCCTAAACTTATCCTTAACTTTTTAAGAAACAAATTTCAAATAAAAATCCAAAACTTAGCTCAAAGACTAAGGACTAAGGACCGGGTTCTTGTACTCGGTGACAGTGATGATTTGAGAGTTACTAGTTATAGTGATGCCAGTTTTGAGATAGACAGAGACAACTTTCGTCCGCATTCGGGTTGGGTGTTTACACTCAATGGAGGAGCAGTGACTTGGAAAAGTTCCAAGCATGAGATCGTGGCTGATTCAACATGCGAGTCATAATATATAGCTTCGAGTGAAGCGTCAAAAGATGTTATATGGTTGAAGAACTTTATTGGAGATCTTGGAGTTATGACATCCATAAAGGACCCCATGGAGATTTTATGTGATGATGGAGCGGTTGCCTTGACCAAGGAACCAATAGATCATGGAAAATTCAGACATATTGACAGAAAATACCACTTCATCAGACAGCAGGTAAAAGGAGGACTTCTCGTCGTCAAGAGGGTATCGTCAGAAGAGAATCCTGCAGATCCCCTCACAAAGGGTCTGAGTATGATTAAGCACATTCAGCATACGATAAGCATTGGCCTGAAGGACGATATTAGTTTTAGTCATTAGATGGATATTTTAGAAACTTGTAACAATATAAATGTAATTGATATTTGATGATTAAGTAATGTAAATTTATTTATGGGTATTGTTTACTGTCTTTTGTCAATTGTTTGTTTTGTGTTTTAACTTTGAATGTTTTACATCCAGAATAATTGGATTGTTTAAGTTATCCACAATCGATCACACTTTCGAAGTAAGTAGTGAATTAAGATTATCATGAATTGGCTTGTAGATAGTCTAAGTGTTTAGACATAGCAATGGTTTGCTGCAACGTTCATGAGTACTCCTGAAATGAGGATTTGAGTATTAGATTAAACCCACAATCATAGAATTACTTCATGGAATTTATCACGAGTAATTATGAGACGATAATATCGTATAATCTTTAAAACAAGACATATGAGTTGCTTTTTACGAGTTGGTTGTGCATTGATAATGCGTAAACGCATCAGTAATTTGATGTTATAAAATGTATTATTGCGTACGATTTGATGAGTAAATAGTACAAACAGATAAGTCAAACTTTATGTTCCTTTTATCCTAACGGGGTAAAAGCAATATTTTGGGCCCCTCGTTGATTTTGTGTTGACTTATGTGTTGGGCCCAGTCAGGACTGAACGATGTGTTCAATTAAGTTTGTTGTCATACAAATCAGAAACCGGGAAACAAACTGTTGGACAATGAGAATGGTTGTGTTCCATGTCTTTGTCCACATGATATCTTGCAGAACAGAGGATTATATGATCCGTTATCCAGGGACACACAACTGACTAGGTCAGAGTTCGACATCGGCTTTTGAAAGCTACGATTGCTAGTCAAATTTTGAAGTCATACTTTCAATTATAGTTATTGGACTTATCCAGGTGGGAGACTGTTGGATTAGGTGTCTAAGTCCATAACTACAATTGGTATGTACTTGATTTGATAACAACATGGTTCTTTTGGGTTGCCTTCACCCTAACAACCTAACATGAAGACTTTTGGAGAGAGATGTTGAATTTGTTATTTGGAATAATAAATTAATTTATTAATGTATTATGAAAATAATATATTAATTAGAAATCATGTTATTTAATTAGAATTTAATCAGAAATTAATTTCAGGATTAAAAGAACTGATTAAAGGAACAGGGGGTTGTTTTGTAAATCATTGATAATTGTGAAACTAGGCTAATGGACTCCTTAGATGGGAGTGGATGAAAACTATAGGGAGGCCCTATAGGTTTCGTCCAAGGCCTATTAATGAGAAGTCCATGGGCTGCTTAAGCCTTAAGTAGGAATTAGGGTTTCCTCCAGCAAACCCTAACAGTCCTCAACTATATAAAGACCCCACCTCATAGGATTTTCGGCCACTGCTTGCTCTTTGTAACCTTAGCCGAAATTTGGTGCTCTTCCCTCCTCTCTCTCTCGTCTCATCCTTTTGCTAGTGGTGTTTGTAAGCCATTATAGGTGCAAAATTTGAAACACCAAGCTTTCAAGAGTCAAAGATCTACAAGGTTTATTGTTATTACTTTATAACAAGTAAGGTAAACATCAAAACCCTTTTATTATGTAATTTTCGATTTATATAAAATAGATCTAGGGTTTTGCTTTGGTATTCAATTTGCAATTTCAACTGGTGAAAAACTTAGATCCAAGGCAATTAATGTTGCATGAATACATAGGTTGTAGTTATGCTCAAAACCAATCAGTGGTAGAAGAGCCATGATGTTTTTCAGTTGAATTTGATGCAATAGTGAATTGTCTAAAGGACAAGGGAACAGATTCGTCAATATGTTCATTAAACTCAACGAGTTCATATAGGAACTCGACAAATTCATTGTCTGACTCGACGAGTTGACTCGTCAGATGCCTGCTTTTTCGATTTTGATATCTTGATTTGATTAGGATAATTACCATAATTCGTTTTAACGGCTAAAAATTGAATTTTCTGAAAAGATAAATGTGTATCCTTGTCAAATTAAGTGATTTTGTCAAATTTTAAGATAAAGACAAAATTAATTTATTAATTTAATTATTTAAAATTTGAACTAGTATTTTTGAAAAGTTTTAAAAATACACCCTATGGTTTTATAATTTAAAATTTGATTAAATAGTTGAATTTTGAAATCTTAAATTTTAGAACCCTAGTATTTTAAAAGTTTAAAATACACCCTTATACTATTATAGAATTAAAAGTTTAACTTATATATATATATATATATATATATATATATATATATATATATATATATATATATATATATATATATATATATATATATATATATAAGAAAAGTTAGTCTTACCGTTAGTAGGCTTCGTTCACAAAACTGGTCTATAAGGGGTGTTTAAGGAAGCAACCTATAAAATGACCGTCATTGGGTATACATTCTTACCCACCGTGTGACAACCCGAAAAATTTCCGTCACTGTAACCCATTTCTGTCAGTAAAGCCGTTATGTTCCAATTTTTCCGTTAACTTTGTTTTAAATTAATAAAATTGGGACTTCTTATTTTGACATCATAAGTGTCGGAACACATTGGAAATGTGTGAAAACATCTCAAATATTTAATTGGAAAATTTATAGTTTCGACCACGTCGGGTTACGACAACTTAATCTGGTACGACCAAAAGCCTCGTTTAACGTCAGTATCGGATAAAATTCCACCGAGCCTCAAACCCGAACCATATATAAAGTTGAGTGGGCTTCATTTGAAGCGTTTCCACTCTCTCTCTCTACTCTCTCTCTCTCTCTCTCTAAAAACTCATAGTTTGATCCAAAATCACCTCTCTCAAGCCCCAAATTGGTATGTAATCCTTCCTAGCTCATAGTATAACATGTTTAGCTTTCAAATTCGTGGCAAGATCATGAAATAGGACCAAAAAATGTGTTTACAGCCCAGGAACACCCTTAGGCCGCAAACACACATAAATGGGGTTTTTGAGCCTCAAAACCCTTCCAAACCACTTTTGGAGCTTATATATGACTTAAGGGCTTACAATACTGGACTTAGAACACCAAAACCTTAACATTTGAGGGTAAACAAGAGTTTATAGCCCAAGCACATGCTTGGACCGTAAACACCATTTCTTAGGCCGTAAACACCTTTTAAGGTGTTAAAATGCCCCTTAAACACCTCCTAATCCTTGGAATAAAGTCTAGAATTATCCACCAATGTGTTAGGGACCTTAAACATGAAAGAAACCATCCCCTTAGGAGTTCACGGCCGTAAACCCCCCAATGAATGGTTCATGGGCCGTAAACTCCTTTGTGGTGATCAAATGGTGCCCTAACTTCCTTCCATGGCTTGTAATTTGGACTAGAAACACTTGTGATTGACCTAGGACCACCAAAACACAATAAGATTGGGTACATAAGAGTTTATGGCCGTAAAATCCTAGTTTACTACCGTAAACTCCTCAAATAGTCCTTATGTTGTTCAAGTTCCATTCCAATGCCTTAAATCTAAGCCTAACATCACCCCACAAGAGTTATAAGACCATTAAGCACCCAAAAACACCCCCACCATGAGTTTACGGTCGTAAATTCATGGAGACATGGTCTTAGGGTCGAAAACTCCCTTAGGAGTTTACTCTTGAAGAGAAAACTCCCTATTCAAGCCATACACACCCTTAGATGCTACTCGGGTCACTCCTAACACTTGTAATGAAGTATTTTCGCGTCTCAGAGTGTACTGTCTTATCTAATTAGTAGTTCAAAGTCTAATTAGATATAATTATGTATCTCTTCATATTACATAGGAACCTCGCGCGTTCTCAAGCCCTGAACTGACACATAGCATCCAACCGACACATTTTTCGACTGGTGAGTTCATACCCCTACGGTTTTCCATGTTTTCAATGTTTTCAGGGGAGGGAGGATACAAGCAAAAGTACAAGAATATCTTGTACTTAAAGTTATTATTTCATTTAAAATGTTTCATATTTTATATACTTTTAACACTGGAAACCGTTTTAACCAACTGTTTGACTTACAGAGTTAGTTTTCAAACTAATTGCAAACCTGATTATACAGTGTTATGTTGTATATTTCACCAATGATTTCCCACTTCATTTATGATAAAATCATTAACCTAGAACATTAGAACACGTCATCGGTAACACTCCACAGAGATACGCGAGTGGAGGACCCCCTTTGTAACCAGAATCACAAACAGGAATTTCCGCATTATTACTTGTAAATTTGTTAATCTTAATAATT